TATGTATTCTTAAAGGCTAAAATGCCCAGGTAGTGAAGACTGCTTTGATCTTGGACTCTGAGCTTTTTACTTCCATGTATCCATGTCTGTTAGTGCTAGACATTTTCGTTCTTGCGTTACATTTACTGGTGCAAAGGCCTTCATCATCTCATCTGAGTTCAATTCTTAAAATATTTATATTTCCCACCATATATAGAACTGTAACATTGCAGATTCCCATTGTGCATTGAATTTAAACACTCTTGTTGATCAAATCCTGTTATATTTCAGAGTGTGAAACAAATATTTCTTTGTTCCTTTTCTCCTCACTATGAGAAAAAGGAATTCAGCTAAATACCATGTCAAGTTCTAAATGACTAGCTCCTGCATGAAATGAAAAACATTCATGTCTCTTTGTTCTTCTAGGATTATGAAATCTGAAGGGGGTGGGGTGTGTTGATGGGGACAGGTAGTTCAGGAAAATTAGAAGTGTGAGAATTGGGGAAAGATGAGGAACCCAGGATTAAAATATGTATTATTGTCGTCCAGAAACATCCTCTTAATTGTTGACTGCAGCTGAAATCCAGATTTTTTGTTTTTACTGCAGTCACAAAATAAAACCCATCAGACACTTTTAGTATTACAGCAAATATTTGTGCCATTTCTAAAACAGAAACATTTGAATTAAAAGCAAGAAGGTCTAGAAAGTTAAAACTAAGTGATTGGGATCTGAATGTGAAGGGTCCAGGCACAATATTGCAACTGAAATTCTCTGTGACACCACAAAGAAAATAATCTTTTTTTGGTGGCTTCCTCTACAGACCCCAATGTTTGAATTATGCTTGTTTCTCATGTCATTGACTTTTCTGATTTGTCCTTGTTTAGGTGTGTGAGGGTGGGATGAAAGAACTGGATTCTTCCACCATCAAAGCTTCTGACCAGGACATTCCCAAGGATCCCTTGCTTTTCAGCATCACACATAAACCTCGTCATGGCTTCCTCATCAATGGGTTGGTTAGCAAAAACTCTCCTCTGTATCAACAACCAGACAATCCCAACCATAAGCAAGAACTTGTTCACCACTTTTCCATGGACCTTTTCAAGAATGGTAGGTGTTGTTCCATTTCTGTTTCTTTGCTGTTATTGATTAGCTTGACCCAGAGAATAATAATAAGTCACAGAAAAGGGGTAAAAAGATAATAACATTTACCTTCTTTATCCATGATTTCCTTATGAGTTTTCTTTGCTCTGTGGACTAACGCAGGACCTGAAGCACCAGCTAGAGAATGTAGATAGGAAAAAGAGGCTTTTTTTTTTCTCTCACTTTTAGAATATCAATAAAATGCCATTTGTGATTTTTGGTAGTTGTTCTCAAGCTTTCAGTGTCATAAAAAAAATTCCTTTTAAAACTATTGAGATCATGGAACTAAATTTGAAGGGATTTGTCTGCCAAAATTTCCACATTTGAAACAAATATAGAACCACATAATAACTCATTATTCTCTGAAGAGATAATTTGCTCTTTAAGGAAATGACACATTGGAATAACAGCCTGAATTATTTTTAATTACTCTTTTTACAAAATCAATCTTATCCCATTTTCCACACACTTTCAAACTTTGGAGGGGCGTGTGTGATTCTAGAATTACTACTGCGTTTCTCTCTTTCCTTCACATGTTCTGGTTCTTCACCCTCAGAAGGTTTTTCCAGTGCTTCCCAGGACCAGCCAATACTGTTCCTGTGGAAGCCGGTCCCCATGGACTCCCCGATTTCCTTTTCTGCCCTTGTTCATCCCAGCACTTGTTTCTGCTTTTTAATTATTTTTTCCTCAAATGAAGTGTGAGGCCCTCACTGGTGGCGCAGCGGGTTAAAGCACAGCACTGAGAAGCTAAAGCCACTTCCGCACGAGTTCGATTTCCGCCTGCCATGGAGGTGACCACATGGCGTGGCAGACCTCTCCTGACCCGCCCGCTGCTCCCCTCAGCAGTGTACTTCATTGATCTGCCTGTTCTGCTCCCCATTCTGTCTATGGTGATGCCTCTCGCTGCCCCTGAGCCTCTGGCCTGTACCCCAGTTCTGTATGCACAAATAAATAAATCTTAAAAAAATAAATAAATAGTGAGTGCTCTGACCCAAGTTTTATTTTGCAGCAATGGCAGAATATCATCTCGCATTTAATTTAGAAAAGCCAATGAACATATTTCTTGTCTTTTGCCAATTGCAAAGAAAGAAAGAAATTCTGGAACTTAAGGATAATATTACCAAATTAATAACTGTGTGTAGCAAAAAATATTATATATATATATACACATACATATACACACATATATGTGTATATATATATTTCAAATTTAACACAAAGCAAAAAGGAATAGTAAGTTAAATTTTACTTTCAAGGAATAATATTTTTAAATTAAATAGTATTTAAAATAATACTCATTATTATTAAATGATATTCATTTTGTATATTGTTGGACTACACAGTATTTTTGAAGAAAAATTAAACTTGTTTACATAAAATCAATTTTTAGTTACTAATTTGGTGACATTCTCTGTGAGTAGATGTTGACCTCTTTTATTTTTGATTCATTTGTAGCTACATTTTATCTAAACTTTATTATATCCTTATACACATTCCCCAACACAATAGAGAATTTATAAAACTGTTACCATATTTTGGATACTTGTTTTCTTTTCAATGATTTTAAACCTTTTTTATTTTTAAATATTAACTGAAAATTAATAACTATAATGTTTCACCATATGACCTAGACTATCATTTTTTTTTTTTAAAGATTTATTTATTTGTGCATACAGAACTGGGGTACAGGCCAGAGGCTCAGGGGCGGCGAGAGGTTTCACCAGAGACAGAGTGGGGAACAGAACAGGCAGATCGACGAAGTACACTGCTGAGGGGAGCAGCGGGCGGGTCAGGAGAGGTCTGCCGCGCCATGTGGTCACCTCCGGGGCAGGCGGGAATCGAACTCATGTGGAAGTGGCTTTAGATTCTCAGTGCTGTGCTTTAACCCGCTGCGCCACCAGGGAGGGCCCCTAGACTATCATTTTATACAACTTTCTCCTATTTTGAAATGCCTACATAGTTGCTTTTCATTTCCTGATATTCAGGTGTATTCCAATTACACACCAGTAAGCTCATTTCACATGTCTGTATAAATCAATCTTGGTGCATATCTCTTTGTTTATTTTACATAAATTTTCTATAATATGATTATAAAATTTATAATACTTTTAAGAGAAAAAAGTTACCATTGACAACAATGTAGGGGAGTGTGTCTAATTTATAGATCATCTATTACCTTTAGGTCTATGATCCACTTTGAGTTAATTTTTATATGCAGGGAGTTAGGTGCCCAAGTGCTTGCTTTCTTTCTTTTTTATTTTTTGTCTTGAATATTCAGTGGTCCTAGCATCATTTATTAAAAAAACTACTTTTACCCATTAAATAGTCTTGGCATCCTTGATAAAAGATGATCGATCATAATTGTATGGGTTCACTTCTACACTCTCTTCTATTAGTTTAATCTACAATGTCTTGATTACTGTAGCTTCGTAGTAGGTTCTGAAAATGGGGAGTCTGAGCTCTCCAATTTTGTTCTTTTTCAAGACAATGTGGGCTATTCTACGTCCCTTGCATTTCCATATGGATGTTTGGTGTGTTTTTTAAAAATAGGGGGGTTTTGTACTTAATTTTTGTGTCATCTAGAGTTTATTTTGGGTACTGACTTGAGGTAGGGATCTAACTCTAATTTCCTCTATATAATTAGCTAATTTTCTGTTTTATTTAAACAACATGTCAACATTGTTCTTACACAATTTACTAAATAATATATATCATTTCCTCACTGCAAAAGAAACTTATTGAATGCTATGCACTTAAATAAGGAATTTTAAAAGGACTAAGGGGAATATAAGTGAACTAATAACTAAATAAGTTTCACTTTACTCCATTTCACTGATTAATGAACTCTTGCTAATACCAATGCTTTGGAAATTAAGACATATTGACTCTGTTTTGTAGTGGTTCTATCCTAAGAAAAATTTACTTTCTCTTCCCCCCCGCCCCCCTTCAGGGATCAGGTTGATGTATGTGCATGATGACTCAGAAAACCTTGCTGATGATTTTACAATCCAGTTGTCAGATGGGAAACATGAGATTCTTAAAACAATTTCAGTAGAAGTCACCCCAGTTAATGATGAGAAACCAATGCTGAGCAAGTAAGTTGCCAAAAAGAATCCTTTTCTGTAAAATCCTGTGAGGTCTGGAATACTAGGTATAATGATGTGTTTCCCAGAAAAACAAGTCTTTGGCAATTGCTTTCTATCATAACTTGTCCTTCCTACTCAGGCACTTAAAATCTTAAGTGCAAATGTTAATTAATGCCAGATCTCCTTAAGAATTTTCAAATTGGGTCCACCCTGGTGGCTCAAGGGGTTAAGTGCAGCACTGCGAAGCTGTCCATAGCCACTGCAACACATGTTCATTCCCCAGTCAGGGAGTGACCCACATGGCTTGGCAGACCTCTCCTGTCTCACTCGCTGCTCTCAGCAGTGTATTTCAGTAGATCTGCATTTTTTTCTGCTCCCCCACTCTGTCTCAGGTGAATCCTCTCACCCCCTCATACCTCTGGCCTGTACTCCAGTTCTTGTATGCATAAATAAATAAATCTTTTTAAAAAGGAATTTTTCAAAATATTCTTTCAATTATTTCATTTTTCCCTAAAATTTCTAGTTATAAATTATTAAAAATGACTGAATAAACAACGTATGTAATAAATAGTAATCTTAATATTTTTAAGCAGGCCTAAGTAATCCACAGCGCACCACATGTATTAGTAATAGTGTCCTCTTGACGCAGTGTTATTGAAGGGATAAAGTGAATAAAAACATGTAAAAGTATTTGAAAGACTGGCTACTACATCGTAAATGCTCATAAGTATTAGTTGTTAACATATTGCCAGCAGGTATTCTTATTCTGAAACTAAAAATCCGGATAGCTGTGCATTTTTGCTCACTGAATCCAGCTTCCATTCTGTTAAAATTCCTCCCTTGGGCCCTCCCTGGTGGCACCCCAGGTTAAAGCACAGTGCTGTGAAGCTACCACAGCCACTGCAGCACGAATTTGATCCCTGGCTAGGGAGGTGACCCACATGTGGCAGAGCTCTCCTGACCCACTCACTGCTCCCCTCAACAGTGTATTTCAGTCGATCTGCCTGTTCTCCTCCCCACTCTGTCTCTGGTGAATCCTCTCACTCCCTGTACCTCTGGCCTGTACCCCAGTTCTTATATGCATAAATGAATAAATCTTGAAAAAAAAATTCCTCTTTAATAGTCACACACTGTGGCTCCTCTATTGCTGGTGCCTTGAGAACATTTGACACCATTTCTTTGATATTCCTTTCAGACAGTGTAGTAGATGCTTTGGGGTCACTCTGTCACCTCCCCTTAGTTTACCTCTGATTCTGGCTGCAGTATTAGCAGAATGTACCATACGCACTCTCAGTGCCCACTGCAAGCATTGTGGTCCATTGCCTCACTTTTCTGCCTCTGGGATTCTCTCACTCATCAGTGGCTCATTTACTCCATGTGGAGGTACAACAGAGAACATTGAGGGCAACCTTCAACCATATAAGTAATGGATAAACCCATGTCTCACCCCCCAGAAGTACTATTTGAGTTATATTCTACCTGGTTCTTCAAAGGGTCCCCAGCAAGATGTAGTCCTAAATGTGTAGCAAATGCCTTTGTTGCCTTTTCCTCCTTCTCTGTCTCAACCCTCACTCATCTCTCATGCTTACTGAAATCACTTACCAAATAAATGACCTGTACTAAAACCCTCCCCCACAGAAATTTTCAGGGTTCCTCACACTAGGATGCACTTCCTTCTCTCTTGGTTTCTCTAACATTTAATTTGACACCTTCTGCCTACCCAATTTTTACCTTCATCATATGGACTCTATTTTTTTTTTTAATTTATTTATTTATACCTACAGGAACTGGGGTACAGGTCAAAGGTGTGAGGGGTGGTAAGAAGATTGGGCTTGAGGAACATTGTTGAAGATTGTAATTGTGATCATCTTTATGAGTGTCTCCTGTTAAAGTGATATCTTCTATTTTGATTTCAACGCAGATCTTTTCCTTTTAACAGGAAGGCTGAGCTGATAGTAAGTATGGGCGAAACTCGTATTATTTCTAGTGCTGTTCTTTCAGCCAAAGATGAAGACTCACCCAGGGAGAAGATTTATTATTTATTTGAAAGGCTTCCCCAAAATGGGCAACTTCAGCTTAAGGTTAGTAGTTTTTTAATTTTATTTTTTAAAACCAATGTAGCAAGTATAAACCTTCTCAGTATATACATTTCTATAATTAAATTTATTCTCTAGTAGACATATTTTGCTGAAAAGTAAAACATCTCATTTTCCTAATTTGAAGCGAACACCACACACTAGTCTAAATATTCATTTTCGTATTCAACTCATGCAAAACTGAACCAATATTAAGTTGCTTCATTGCTTCTTATTCCCTGTAATTGTACCTATATTTGGGGAGAGGGGATGACTGGGGAAAGCAGTATCTAGTTTTTGATAAGAAGATGAGTGAGGCAGCCATTGAAATATCTTCATTTCCACCAGATTTAAGCTTTTTAAAAATATATTTTCTTTTTAAAGCAGTTTGAGGTTCATTGCTATTTGCCAAGAAAGCACAGGGTTCCCATGGACCCTTTGTTTCCCTCCCCATGTACAGGCTCCCCTTCACAATCAATGGCTCCCATCAGAGTGATACACTTGTTGCATTTGATAAAGCTACACTGGCATTATCCCTCAGAGTCCATAGTTTTCATTAGGGTTCACTCTTAGTGTATTTATGTGGATTTTGTCAAGTGCATAATAACATGAACTCACCACTACCGTATCACAGAACAAAAAATCCTCTGTGCTGTGGCTATCCAGTGTCCCTGTCCTCAAGTCCCTGGTAATCAATGACCTTTTTCACTTTCTTCATAGTTTTGCCTTTTCCAGAATGTCATAGAGTTGGAATCATGCAATGTTTTCAGATTGGCTTCGTTCACTCAATAATATACATATGAATTGATAGCTCGTTTCCTTTTAGCACTGAGTAATCGCATTGTCTGGAAGTACTGCTGTTGAGTTATCCTTTCTTCTTTACTTCTTGGTTAACTTCTTGGTTACCTCCCAGTCTTAACAGTTTTAACATATATAAACATCTATGTGCAGATTTTTACAAAGACATAGATTATTAATTTACCTGAGGAAATTAATATAGATTATTAATTTACCTGGGGAAATACCAAGAAGTACAGTTGCTAATACAGTCAAAGTATATTTAAACTGATATGCTAAATTGTTATGTATTAAGGTGAAGTAGATTTAAAAGTCAAAAACTTTTAAAGTATCTACCTTCACTTCCTGTTGCAATATCAGAGCCCTTGTGTTAAGGTTTAAATAGACAAAATCTCGAACAAAAAAGTATAGAGGGACCTGTGATATCATCACAGCTCTCTCACATCTGTCATTTTTAACAGCTGCCATATTTGAATCCAGTGAATTGCATGACATTTGTGTTCTGCAAATTATGTAGTAGAAAGAAAATGCACAAGGAGACATTAAAGGATGCAGAATAAGGTCGCCTGCTTTCATTGCTGTCTTCTGACAACTTGCTCTGTGATCTGATAACCGGTTCTTAGTTCACGTTAGTCCTGGAATAGCCTGGTTCATGCTGTTTGTGTGACATCCAAGGATTAGCCCAACACAAATTATAGATCAGTCACTTGAAAGCATTATTTGAGTAATCCATCAAAATGCTTATATGTCAGTGGTGGATGAAGACGAGCAACAACAACCATCAACCATCCCCAATGTGATTACTTAACTGAATGTTTGACTTTTAATCTAATGTAGACACAGTCCTAGAAAAGCATCAAGGATTCATTCTGTGTGGAACAGCTTGATTGTCTTAGATTGTAGGCACCATAGAGAATCAGAGTGAAGAGCAATCACTGATTTAAATTGAGGTACAGCTGTGTCCTTATTTCATTTCAAAGAGTAATGAAGCAGAAATGCAGTGACGGCTCACACATTTGGGTGGCTTGGGAACTGAAGTGTTTTGGATGTGTGAAAATCCAGATGGGTCCAGGTTCCCAGTATTAGTGCCACATAGTTCTTTCCCAGCTCCCCAGGGGTTCGCCACATTTCTCCAAGGCCAGGGACCAGAACCTTGGGCCTCCAGGACTTCCTCAAGGGGTTCTTCTTTTCTTATTGATGTTCTTTAGCTTTCCCCATCTTAAGTCTGATTCTTAACTTCCTCTTTTGGGGCTTGCAAGTAATTGTGTCAAGTTAAAACTTGCATTTGGGAGTGTAAGTGGCAAATTAGTTGAGCACAAAGGATATTTTTCGTATTTACTTTCTGGGAAAAAAATAAGGAAAAAGTTAAGTAGAAGTTCAGGCTGTCCAGTTTAAACTCTAAAAGAGAACCTGCTTTAGAAATTAAGTCTGCAAATAGATCTTATGATAGAAATAAACAGTGAGCTCAATTATTACAATGTAATTAACATCTATTCAGTGATCATTGAGGCAGAACATAACTGCACAAACATCAGCTGGGCAAAAGTCTTAAAGAAGAGGCAACTTTATCCAATAGAATGACATAGGAAAATGATCGTGGGGAGAGGAGAGCAAAGCATTTTAACAGGACTTGCGGTCTGTGGGAAATAAAAACCAAATGATAGAAATTTCAGTTTTTGTCTCCTAAAACAGACAGGAAAAGAACAAGTGAGTAAGTAAAATTTTAAGATGACATGTTTTGAATTATGAGAGTGGCTTTTTGAGTTACTCGTAGGAAAATCTATGTATAATAAGAAAAAAAATAGAATTTTAAAGCAGACACAGATTTACCTTGTTTGCTATTCATTGTCAGTGCCCGTACCCAGCACAAGAACCTCTTTTAATTGGAAATGCCATAATTTCTGCACTGAACCTTTGACAGAATTTGTACTTAATTACTATTTGCTGGCTTTTAAAAGATTTCAGTAAAATTAATGTATAATAGTTGTAGCTTTTGCTGATTCAGAATATATATGTAGAAAATGATAGGGATTTGTTATTTTTCTTTGGGCATTAGTAAAGCTGGGAAATGTGATGAGGAATAAATGTATCCATTCTATTTTGGTTTTATCGATTTCAAATAACAAAGCAGTTTTTAAAAATTGCACTAACTAGTTGTATAATAATATGAACTAAAAAAAGGAAATTATTCCCAAATGAAACACATTTAATTTTTAAAGAATCTATTCCAGCAGCTCAATTGCCCACCTGCTCTCATTAATTGGAATATTTAATCAGCTATGATTGCCTATGATAAATACCTTGGATTTAGTACTACTATTGAATTACTGCATGACTGTTAAAAATATTTTTATTGAAGGTAGTTTTTCTCATAGTCTTAAATTACGTTGATGTAGTTCCTTTAAAAGAAAAAAATGAGATAAAATGTTAAAAAATGGAGTCTTGAATTTCCCTGAAATGTTCTTGTTGGTGCTTTTCTGAAGATGCAGAAAATGTCCGCTAATAGTTTGGGGCTTAAACTAACAGAGACTCCTGACTAATTATAGCACCTTTCAGATAGGGAGGAACTGGTCTCCTCTCCACCCTGGCATGAAGTGCACCCAGGAGCAAGTGGACTTGAACTTGCTGAGATATGCTCACACTGGGGCCATGGATTCCCAGAACCAAGACAGCTTCACCTTCTACCTCTGGGATGGCATCAACAGGTCACCTGTATTTGACTGCCACATTACTATCAGGAACATGGAAAAAGGTAAAAACATTTAGAGCAAACTTTTACGGTCAACTTTTTTATAAGATTTATTTATGCATGCAGAATTGGGGTACAGGCCAGAGGTGTAGGGGTGATGAGAGACTTCACCAGAGACAGAGTGGAGAGCAGAACAGGCTGACTGATGAGGTACACTGTTGAGGGGAGCAGAGGGCGGGTCAGGAGAGGTCTGCTGTGCTTGTGGGTCACCTCCGGGCTGGGCATTGAACTCATGCTGAAGTAACTTTAGCTTCTTAGTGCTTTAACCTGCTGTGCCACCAGAGGGGGTCTGGGGTCAACTTTTATGGCCAGAAGTGGACTGGTATAAGCTGTCAAACTGTCCCCCTTCCTTTCTTCCACTCCTTCAAGCTTCCTTCCTTCTTTCTATCCCTTACGCCTAAAATCTTGTCATTGATGATTCCATGGGATGATTTCTCACCTGCTTTAGACTGCAAACAATCTATTCCCTATTTGCTCTGTTTAAGAAAGTCCATTGACCACAGGGATTATGTACAAAATGAAGAATGATGTAATATATATATATATATA